GCGCCCAGTCAATCCTCCCCGGCCAGGATACGAACCCAGGCCAAAGCGCTCGCGAAACGCCAGGCGAGCGCCTTACCACTACGCCACAGGGACTGGAGATGATGTTGATGTCAACAGTGAGGTGACGTCCCACTGTCTGCTCCAGCAGGCAGCCTTGAGCCCTCACAACACTGCTGACGTCATCACCTCCACACACCTTCATTTGTTTTGATTTGTATTTCATCTTCTTTTAATGCCAGTTTTCTATGTATTGTATTATTCGCCACAAAATGTATGAATATATTAAGGGTTTTCTATTTGAATTATCTTCAAGATATTAAAACCCTTGAGAAGCTTAAACAAAACCAGCAATGTTAGTCTCTCGACACAAGGGGGGCTATTTGCGTGTGTGGTAATTGACAATTCTGCACACCAGTTACACTTCCTAGTCTGGCAGTGTCACTCTCTGTCTGTCTGTCTGTCTCTGTCTGTCTGTCTGTCTGTCTGTCTGTCTGTCTGTCTGTCTGTCTGTCTGTCTGTCTGTCTGTCTGTCTGTCTGTCTGTCTGTCTGTCTGTCTGTCTGTCTGTCTGTCTCTGTCTGTCTGTCTGTCTGGCACAAGTAAATAACTGAAGAACAGCTCAAAAGTACCTAAACAAATAACTGGCAGTTTAATCAGATACTGTATGTTATTACTTAGCCTAAATATCTACACGACTAGAGTGCTGGTAACTTTGCAGTGCTCGTGGCGCAGTGGTAAAACACCCGACCGGCGCTTCGCAAGCCCTTTGGCCTGGGTTCCTATCTTGGCCGGGAAGGATTGTCTAGGCGTCACTCCTTAACTGTAGCCTCTGTTCACCCAGCAGTGAATGGGTACCTGGTTGTTAAACGATTTGGCGGGTCGTATTCCGGGGACCATAGGAACAAGGACTTGCCAGAAACACTAAGCGTGCTAGTGGCTCTACAAGAATGTAACAACTCTTCTATATATAAATAAAACAATACTTCAATCTCCGTGGGACAGGAGATCGCTAGGCTACAATTGTATCTTTTTTTTATTATTCTTAGTTATATGGTCATTTTTGCAGCTACCCTAGAACATATAAAGGGTTACATGGTTTGTATGGAGAGGAAATCTTCAAGAAACGAAAAGCAGTATACTGCCCTAACTTCATCTTAGTATGTGGTATTACCCTCTGGTTTTCATGAGACGTTTCATAAGGGTACTAAACTGTAGTAAAGAATTGACAGTAACAATCACCATCCAGGAGGTAATTACTGAACCTTGGTCTCACCCCCCCTTACTATATCTGATACTCTCCCTCCTTCCCTCTTACGGGCTCACCATAGCCCGTGCTACTTGGAACTTGTTCCGAGTAGCTGAATCTATAACAACAACAACCCTCCCTCTGTCACTCTCTCTCCCTCCCTCATTTACATCTCCTCCTCCCCCCCTCCCTCATTTACATCTCCTCCTCCTCCCCCCTCCCTCTCTCCACACATTCTCACTCGTAGTCACGGGTACACTAGATATTTGTTTAGAGTTGCTGGCCTCCGTGGCTGAGGTCGAGGCATGATTGAGCAAGATACCCACCAACATATCTAGAGTCGGCACAACGCAAGGGACAAAGGGGAGGCAAGCTCGACCACCTGCAGGAATATGAACAGTTGGAAGGTGCAAGTGACAGACTTGACACTCATCCTTCACTGTTAAACAGTATTAAATGTTACCTATGAATATGCGGTATTAATATATTATATATATTTACATTGCACATGGTTGGGTCTGAGTTAGGTCATGTTAATATGAGTGTATTGAAGTAAAGGCTGGAACTTAATGTAGCAAGTCTTGAATCGGCTTCAAACAAAAGTAAATAGTAGAGTAGCAGCGACAGTGATAGTCAGGTAAGTGTTACGGTGAAGAGGAGGATGATATCTAGCATTTGACCAATACTTGTTTAAACTCTCGCACAAACTTTCTGGCAACACTGTGTTTTGTCTTTGGCCTCACATTTCAACAACATTTAAATACTTTTCAATCAATAACTTCACTGACATAGTGTGTGGTTTTCTCCTTGTTCAAAATGTCTTCTTCATTCCATGCATAATCTGTTACTCTTAATCTTATTACTTTATTCATTTACTCACACACACACACACAATTTTACATATTTCAACAGTAACCTTGAATCTTTTTTTAATGGCTATGCAATCTATTGAGCTCAGCACAATGCTTGTCTTGAAAACATCTATTACAAAATTTATTCATCTGTACTTGACCTACTTAATTGCAGGACAAGTGAAGTTATCAGCATCATTTAACTTTAAAGCAATATTTACGCAATTACAAAATTATTCCTTGCTTTCTTAAGCTCTAACTCAGGCTTCTCCCTTTAACTGTCTGAAACCCTTGACCACTAAAATATTTTTGATAATACCTGACGCCTTGACAAAGAGAATCTGAACTCTAGCACATCAACCCAGAATTAAGAGTCCAAACGCAAATTGTTTCTCTGTGAAAATTGTCAGAATTGTTTTTCTAATATACAAAAGCTCAATTGCTGAAATGTCAGTGTCGTATTTATTTGGTGCTATTATAAATTAGATATTATGCAACCTTGGCTTCAAAGACTTGCTCAACTTGGCATATTCAACTTTCGAGCAGAATGTTTTTAGGAAGGTGCACAACTAACTTTTGCGCTATTTCAGAAAATGACAAGTGGTACATTTCAAAAATATTTAATTTGATCTGTAACATTTCTAATTTGCCTCTTAAAGCCTGCCAAGAATTATTGGTACATTTTATATAGTGACTACCAATATTGTCACCCAAATGCTGATCATGGTCCTCTATTCATGAACATAATTCGAGAATTCCACATTTCTGAATGGAAATAAATGCAGTACCCTTTTCTATAGCTAATAGATCAGTACAGTGAAAACTTAAATCATACCAACCTGTTATTGACCTCATAATGGCTCTTGCAAACAAAATGCTTAAAATAAATTAATTTACGCAATTGACTGCACTGAACTGTATTGACATTGTGGGTCCTGATAATTTTCACTTCCACTCTTGTTACTGCAGGTGGATATGCCTTTACTGTACTCTTAGCTACACCAAGAGGGGGGATGAGTTTTTCTCATAATTTGTTTTGAGATACAGTATATGGCGCTTAAAGAGGCAGAGGAAGACCAGCTCTGGAAAGGTGAGGGGTTATGAGTATTTGGTGGCCAAGGTTGAGTTTGCAAGTGTACAGAATATGCAAAAGGATCACCGAAAGTCACAAAGAGACCAAACCAGACAGCTGAAAGGTCATGACCAGAATATGCTGGGGGATGAGATGGTAAATTTTGTTTATATTTCAAGATGAATACTGTATACTGCATAGTGGGATAACAGGGGGGCAACTCTGTTATCCCACTTGGTAGGTAATTTGCCTACCAAGGGCCAACAGTGGTAGGAAAATTAAGAGAACCGACAAACAGCGTAGGAACATCTTGATATTCATGGACTTCCTGGTTGGGTATTGTATTTTGATTAGTTGTACCAAGGATGATATGTGGATGATGCAGGTGTGCTTTGCAGGGGCAGGTATTGAGGATATTGTTTGTTAGTTTTTTCACAGATGACAGTGCTATAGGGAAATCAAAGGGTGAGGCATTGCTAGAAAAACTTGGGAAATAAATAGAATTAGGATCAAGAGACAGATCCTGCTCATACATGTCCAGGAGCTGGAAATGAAGGGTTGTCTATGTTAGTTGGTATTAATCAGTAGCTGCACAAACATTACAGATCTTAACTGGATCAAAACATGGTTATTGGTCAGAAAAAAGAGGGGGGTCAGAATAGAGAGTAAAATCAGAGTGGGGAACATTTGCAAGCGAGTGGGCTGTATCCTTGAACCATAAGGTATATGCCCCATAATAATTTGGATACTGAAGGCACAAGGAACATTAGTTAATTTGCCAATGACACTAAAATAGGGAGGGGTAATAAATGAAGATAAAGAAGCAGAAATGTTGCAAGGCATAAACCAACTTTAAAACTGTACTGTAATGACAATGCTGATAGTTATATGGCTCTAAGACAAGGAAAACTAAATAACAGTATCTGGTATCAGCTAAACAATAGTGAAATTGTGAAATCAAATTAGACAAATGACAGTCATGATTAGCAGGAATCTTACTCCAAGAAGACAATGCATAAATGTTTGAAATAAGTTTAATATGGCACTAGGCTCGAAGTTTAGAAACATTAGTAATAAAACTAATGTTATCTTTCAATTTGTTCATGCTCAAGTGACACCTCAGTTGGGTTATGCAGTACTGTATAATTTTTGCAACTGTAATACAGAATGGATGTAAATTATCTTTGAAAGTATACCAAGGAGAGTGACTAAATTTATCCTAGGCAATATGAACCTCCCTTATGAAGACTATCAACACTAAATTTATGTTTCATAGTAAAGGAAGACATGATTTAAGTGTACAAATGGGTGAAAGGGTTTAAAAAGAGGGACAAAGTTTTTTTAAATGTCAACACAAATTAAATATGAAACAATGAATTCAGGTTGGAGAAATTTAAAATTGGAGAAGAAATACTCATGCAAATACTGGTTCAGAAATAGGTTTGCAGATCTGTAGGAAAAGTAACCAAAGTACATCATATTGTAGTTGGAAATAAATCGGAACTGATGACCAAACATCAGGAGAAATGACGACGTTTTGGTCCATCCTGGACCATTAACAAGTCGTGTGATTAAGACCAGATCAAGTCGTGTGTATCTTGATATTCTTGATATCAAGAATATCAAGATCATGTACACCTGTGATAATGGTCCAGGATGGTCTGAAACGTCGTCGTTTCTCCTTCTGATGAGTGGTTTGCTCATCATATTTTCAGCCACGTTATTCTGACTCATTGTCTACAAATTGGAGCTGCCTCACATAGGCCAATAAGCTTTCTACAGATTTCTTTATTATAACTAGTTTAAAGGTAATTATCACTTCACATACTCACCTTGACTCGAATGTTCTCTTCCTGACACTTTCGAAGGACAGCCAAAGGGCCAATCATTTCCTCCATGCGAGTGATGACATTTCGACGCCGTCTTGGACCACGGCCCTTTATGAGTCCTGGTGGAGTCAATATATTCTTTCACAAATTTGGATAAAAGTAGTTTCTAATTATATCATTTTATTTATTTTCCCAAGTTAAATTTATATAATCTTCTCATTTCATAGAAATGTAAATTTATTATGTTGACCAGACACAATAGAAATTTTCGGTCCGTCCTGGACCATTCTCAAGTCGATTGCTGTTGATGACGGACTGAAACGTCGTCGTCCCTTCATCTGTTTAAGCCACGTACAATTATTATTTCTAAGTTTGCTGTATTAAAATCTGTTTATCAGAGAGTTCACAACTGTAGTAGTTTATTATTGTAAAAATTTATTAAAAGGAATTTTTTGTAACACCATAAAAGAATTACCGTTTGAGGCCTCAATTGTTAACCAATACCTAATCAAAATGGAAACACATGAAAAATGTTGTAATTCTTGAACTCTTGTGAATACAGAAACATTATAATTGTTATTGGAGTGTAATTCATTTAAGACAAATCCTTTTTATATTAGTGTTGTTCAATATTTAAAATATAAAATTTTCATTTATTGTATTCGATAATAGGATATATATTAAAGGGTGTATTAAAGTGTATTAAAGGGTATATTAAAATGTGTATTAAAGGGTGTAAATATGTTAGTGTGGTCAAGTTTTCCATATCAACACTAAAATTTCTTTATTTTCATTTCAGGTAATGCAGAATTCAAGACACTTGAGAGGAATTAAAGGTATCAGTTATGTTAGTAATTTTTATATCATACATAATTTAATCTGAATATCATTGACAGTAGCTTAAGAAATTACAGTATATCCATATAAAACTTAGTTTGACTTAAGCATTAAATTATTGCTGAAATGTTTGTTATTACTGTAGAAGTATTGCAATTAATAGCGAGAATATTTTAATATGTACACTACTGTATAGGAACACTATGGAATTAAGTATGTAGTACACGTACTGTAGTACACTGTGTGCAGGAAGTGTTCAAGGTAATGCATTAATTTAAGCAATGATCTGCCAGTGAGTTACCTTGTTCTGGTGTGAAGTTCCTCCCTACTGGAATCTTACGTACATTTGGTTTTGGGATACCTCCAGGGCCCAACACCTGTAAGGGATAGGCAAGGTTTGGGCAGGCATGAAACCACAAAGTGGGAACTGTGATGTGTTTATGGTGGCGGAAGCAAGTTAGTAACGTACCTCAGATATCTGCAAGATCATATGCAGCAATGACTGTTCATTGACTATTTATTCCCAGGTCATACAATTTAATTTTTTTATTTATTTATTTTTTTTTTTTTTGCATAGCAGCCTATGTATGGATAGTAAATGTAACCATGAGAACTGAACACTGCATAGTGTATCATAAAATCAGAGAACGTTAATGACAAAATGTAAATAGGCCAAACTCAAGAAGAAAATATATGGTATTTATCACCATAAATGGGTTACTTGTTTTCCGTCATGTTATAGTGACTTATTCTCTGCATAATTGTCCCATGCTAACCTGGGTGACAACAGTGGGATAGCAGGATGACTGCTAATGTAAAAGTTCCATTTTGTGGGTTCAGCTACAAACATCCCTTTTTATAAGACAAAGCAAAAATGCTATACAGAACAGAATTTTGTTAGTGTAAATAATAAATGAAGGAATGAATTCAACAGTTATGTTATCATTGACGAAATCTATCTAAAAAATAAATTTGTGTGTGTATATATATCAAGGAAGACAGACGGGATCAAATAGAACATAATTGGTATGTCCAAGCGTGCAATTCATTCTGTTACAGACCACTCGAATGTATTTTTCACACATTACTGGTTTCAAACCCTTGGTTTGATCCTTGTTGATCATACCAGGCACTGTACTGTTCAGAATTTAAATTTTGTTTTCAACATCTTTTTAAAATGTAATTTTATGGCAACTTAGCATAAAATATTTTTTTTGTAGGCACACGTCTCTAATTATATAATGAATGTTTATCGGAAAGTGTAGTTTGATATCCAAAATTTCTCATTTTGGACGTTTCTGAAAAGTAATTGTTCCTTTTTAATTTAATTTCATTATTTTAATTGAATGTAAAAAGATATAGTGCCAGGGTATATTCATATAAGAAACATGAGGTTCTGCTGAAAATGGCATAACAAAAATCCTTGGTCATGAACATAGTTGTAGGAGAGAAAATCTGTGTTTTATGTAACAATACTCAAGTAATACTGCCAGAATCTGAATGGCACAGTGTCCCATTGTCCTGTATCTGAAGACTTCACAAACTTATAACAATATTTTATTATAAAATGTCTATAATTAGCATCAACATTTTTTTTTCCCCGTCCTGATATATATATTACACAGGGCTCAAGATTCATTAAAATGAAAGATACTCTTCAAGTTCTCAAGTCAACTAGTACACAGGAATATTTTTACCCTTATTGGCTATGGTTTTGTGCATGCTACTACGGTAGTGTTATGCTGTAAAAATTGTGAATTGTCTACAGTTTATAGGTTTTTAATTTAAGAGGTGTCACTTTTAGTTACGTAGAAAAATGAACGATCCCTATTTGTGAAAATTTCATTTTAATATAAAATAAACAAATCAAAACAAATAAAGAGCTACATAAAGGACTTTAAAATCTTGACTGTGAAAATTAGATACTACTGCATGTACAAAGTATAAAATAAGAAATGTTTACAAAATAATTGTAGTTTATACTAGTTTGAGCCTAAATTACATTTTCATATTTGTGAAAATAGGAGATAATACCGAGAACAAAATGAATACAGTACACTGTATCACAGAAATTAAGATTGAATAATAATTATCAGATTAATTAAAAAAAAAGATAAAAAATTAATCTTGCAACTGCTATAATAGTGGGAGGAGTGATTACCCAAAGCAGCACCAGGCATGGAAGACTATATAGAGTAGAGTAGCGAGAAGAGGTAGTAAAAAAAAAAAAAAAAAGCCAGAACTCTGGGCATGAGCAACCAGGCTGGCAAACCCTACAGGGCTATAATTTGTCTAAGTAATCTCTTTTTTAAGTATGTGTGGGTATTGAGGGATATCTTTATTGGAAATGGTACACATTAGATTTTGATTACATCGTTAAAACAAGAGGCACTCTCTCGCCTTCTCATTTACATTTTTCAATAAAATTTATAAAACATCTTATAAAAAAATGATCCAGAAAATAGGAAGAGCTCAAATTTATTACTGTATTCTTAAATTATGTTGTATAAATATTACAATTAACTGCATCTAACATGTTATTAACTATGCTAAGCCAATCTGAATATTTAAATAATAATAATAATAGCATCAGTTACAGTATACACACACTAATAGCGGCTGATAGCTAGAATTTAATTAGGGCCTATTATAAATTAAGATGAGTTACACCGGCAAGGAAAGTAATGTTTGCTTCATGCAATGTGACATTGTTCCCTGGCTGGGCCACCACTGGCTACATTACTCCCTGGCTGGGCCACCACTGGCTACATTACTCCCTGGCTGGGCCACCACTCGCTACATTGCTCCCTGGCTGGGCCACTACTCGCTACATTACTCCATGGCTGGGCCACCACTGGCTACATTACTCCCTGGCTGGGCCACCACTGGCTACATTACTCCATGGCTGGGCCACCACTGGCTACATTACTCCATGGCTGGGCCACCACTTGCTACATTGCTCCCTGGCTGGGCCACCACTCGCTATATTGCTCCCTGGCTGGGCCACCACTTGCTACATTGCTCCCTGGCTGGGCCACCACTCGCTATATTGCTCCCTGGCTGGGCCACCACTTGCTACATTGCTCCCTGGCTGGGCCACCACTGGCTACATTACTCCCTGGCTGGGCCACCACTTGCTACATTACTCCCTGGCTGGGCCACCACTTGCTACATTACTCCCTGGCTGGGCCACTACTTGCTACATTACTCCCTGGCTGGGCCACCACTTGCTACATTACTCCCTGGCTGGGCCACTACTTGCTACATTGCTCCCTGGCTGGGCCACCACTTGCTACATTGCTCCCTGGCTGGGCCACCACTCGCTACATTGCTCCCTGGCTGGGCCACCACTCGCTACATTGCTCCCTGGCTGGGCCACCACTTGCTACATTACTCCCTGGCTGGGCCACCACTGGCTACATTACTCCCTGGCTGGGCCACTACTCGCTACATTGCTCCCTGGCTGGGCCACCACTTGCTACATTACTCCCTGGCTGGGCCACCACTCGCTACATTGCTCCCTGGCTGGGCCACCACTTGCTACATTGCTCCCTGGCTGGGCCACCACACTCTACATTGCTCCCTGGCTGGGCCACCACACTCTACATTACTCCCTGGCTGGGCCACCACTCGCTACATTGCTCCCTGGCTGGGCCACCACACTCTACATTACTCCCTGGCTGGGCCACCACACTCTACATTGCTCCCTGGCTGGGCCACCACACTCTACATTACTCCCTGGCTGGGCCACCACTCGCTACATTGCTCCCTGGCTGGGCCACCACACTCTACATTACTCCCTGGCTGGGCCACCACACTCTACATTGCTCCCTGGCTGGGCCACCACACTCTACATTACTCCCTGGCTGGGCCACCACTCGCTACATTACTCCCTGGCTGGGCCACCACACTCTACATTACTCCCTGGCTGGGCCACCACTCGCTACATTGCTCCCTGGCTGGGCCACCACACTCTACATTGCTCCCTGCCTGGGCCACCACTAGCTACATTGCTCCCTGGCTGGGCCACCACACTCTACATTACTCCCTGGCTGGGCCACCACACTCTACATTGCTCCCTGGCTGGGCCACCACACTCTACATTACTCCCTGGCTGGGCCACCACTCGCTACATTGCTCCCTGGCTGGGCCACCACACTCTACATTACTCCCTGGCTGGGCCACCACTCGCTACATTGCTCCCTGGCTGGGCCACCACACTCTACATTACTCCCTGGCTGGGCCACCACTCGCTACATTGCTCCCTGGCTGGGCCACCACACTCTACATTACTCCCTGGCTGGGCCACCACTAGCTACCACAAGGACACGGAGGCCCGGGGCGGCTGCCATCAGCCCTCACTAACACTCCGGAAAGATCGATCCCGGCGGACAAGGCACAACTTACACCGGGGATTTCTCTCACTACGTTAAACCTTTGGTCATGTACATCCTTTCTAAGGCTGTCCAGGTCTTCATACTCCTTGGCGTCGGACACTGGGAGCTGCACATCAGTGACGGACAGAGCTTTAACGGGATTAAAGTCTTTAGACTGAAAATCGAGCGCATCTTCCTGCCGGGCCATGTTTACACTACGGTGGCGCCGCCCTGGTGGCGGGCAGCGGCGACACCTCGCGGCGCCACCTTCAAAAATGGCCAACCTCATGTTGTTGTTATAGATTCAGCTACTCGGAACAAGTTCCAAGTATCACGGGCTATGGTGAGCCCGTAGTAGACTTACCTGGCACAGGAGCGGTTCAAACAAACAACCTCCTGATTTGGAGCAAATTGATACATCGCTTCATATATCTCATTGTAGAGATCCCTAAGGGCTGGCTGTCCTTATAAGTGAGATTTACAGACCTAAAGAGCGAGGTTCAAGGCCAAAGACTTTCCAAGTGTTATTATAGGTCAGCGCCTAATGAGACGGGACTAATACGGCTTGCGGGGACGGTACACAGGCTAATTAACTCCAGCCTCTTGCTCCACCCAAGAGAAATATTTTAAATATGTTTTGATTTACGGCAAATAAACCAATTATTCCTGAGTAATAAGGAGATGGTATACGGCTGCGTGAGGCAAACCCACAGTGAGATCTGACATGTAAGAAATAGTGATCAACTTCAGTAACTCTTATTTAGTGTAAAAACAAACTTCAAATGAATACACAGTATGTAGCATGAAAGTTGATATGGACATTCACACTGGCCTGTGTGTGTGTGCGTGCGTGCGTGTGTGTGTGTGTGTGTGTGTGTGTGTGTGTGTGTGTGTGTGTGTGTGTGTGTGTGTGTGTGTGTGTGTGTGTGTGTGTGTGTGTGTGTGTGTGTGTGTGTACACTTTCCTAGACATATTCACTTTGATATGCTGGCAGAGTGGAGCTAGGCTCGTAGTACACCAATCCAATACCTCAGGTCCCACGCTGTTAACATATTTACATTTCAAATGTTGTATATCGAGTTAGCGTCAACGACTTCTTCACATAACCTATTCAACTTACTGACGGCTCCAACACTAAAAAAGTTCTTTCCTGACTTCTCTGTGACTGTGTAATTACCTAAGTGGCAGATAATTCCACAGTCACAGAGTGTGTGTATTTACTACTTGTATCTGAAGAATCGAGCAATTAGCTCTTGGACCCCGCCTTTCTAACCAATTTAATTTTCCTCTATTATGTTTACTACATATATTTTTCTAACACACGAACACACATAAGGCTATCTAACTTTGCTGCTATGTGAATAGAGGCATCAGGGTGAAAGAAACTCTGCCTATTTGCTTCCGCCTCCGCCGGGAATCGAACTCGGGCCATTCGGACAACGACTCCAGAGTGCTATCCACTCAGCCGCGAGGCCTCCCTGAGTGAGAGAGTACTCACCTAGTTGTATTCATCTAGTTGTGCTTGCGGGGGTTGAGCTCTGACTCTTTAGTCCCGCCTCTCAACCGTCAATCAACTGGTGTACAGATTCCTGAGCCTACTGGGCTCTATCATATCCACATTTGAAACTGTGTATGGAGTCAGCCTCCAATGCATTCCATCCGTTAACCACTCTGACACTAAAAAAGTTCTTTCTAATATTTCTGTGGCTCATTTGGGCACTCAGTTTCCACCTGTGTCCCCTAGTGCGTGTGCCCCTTATGTTAAATAGCCTGTCATTATCTACCCTATCGATACCCTTGAAAATCCTGAATGTGGAGATCATATCCTCCCCTAACTCTTCTGTCTACTAACGAAGTGAGGTTTAATTCCCGTAGTCTCTCCTCGTAGCTCATACCTCTCAGCTCGGGTACTAGTCTGGTGGCAAACCTTTGAACCTTTTCCAGTTTAGTCTTATCCTTGACTAGATATGGACTCCATGCTGGAGCCGCATACTCCAGGATTGGTCTGACATATGTGGTATATAATGTTCTGTGTGTGTGTGTGTGTGTGTGTGTGTGTGTGTGTGTGTGTGTGTGTGTGTGTGTGTGTGTGTGTGTGTGTGTGTGTGTGTGTGTGTTTCGCCGACCTTTCATGTTGAAAAGGTTAGTCATTAAGCAATATCAGTTGATCAATACACCAGACTCGGCAGTGCCATTAGGCTTGTGATTAATAATAATGTTATTTGGGCTTACATTAATTTATATACATCTGAGAAAACGAATTTTCGCTCGCAACTGAAACTCCTTATGACGTAGTGGATTGAATTTCCTTTATTGAGCAAACCTGCCGTGATTGTTAATTAAGATTACCGAGTGTTATATGAAGTCGTTGAGTGACTTCCCCTGACCTGATGTACTATAGACAGGCGTCCAGTCTGTACGCATTTACTGTACATAGAGATACGCATCTATACCAGCGCATTGAACAAATCAAGGCCGATGCCTGTTATAATCCCAATAAGCGTACAGATTTACGCTACGCTTACGCCAATAAGTTCCGGATTTATGACGTAATTTTTTCACATGCTAACATTCAGTTTATAGGCTTGTATCCCTTGTGTAAACAGCTGATGCCTTTAGCGTGTGGATTCAAATGTACAGTAACGTTGGGGTTTGGGGGATTTACCTACACAACTGAAATCTGTGTACTGAAACCAAACATTGGAACTGTATTAGCTTTTCAGTATTGAGGAGTACACACACACACACACACACACACACACACACACACACACACACACACACACACACACACACACACACACACACTTCATCCGTCATCAAGACGGATGAAGATAGACAGAGACTACAGGATGACCTGGATAAACTGGAGGAATGGTCTAGAAAATGGCTGCTAAAGTTCAACTCAGGAAAGTGTAAGGTGATGAAATTAGGCGAAGGGAGCAGGAGGCTGAACACAAGGTATCATCTGGGAGGAAAAATCCTGCAAGAGTCAAATAGAGAGAAGGATCTGGGGTTGATATCACACCGAACCTGTCCCCAGAGACCCACATCAAAAGAATATCATCAGCGGCATATGCTAGACTGGCCAACATAAGAACTGCCTTCAGAAACTTGTGTAAGGAATCTTTCAGAACCCTGTATACCACTTATGTAAGACCAATTCTGGAGTATGCAGCTCCAGCCTGGAGTCCATACCTAGTTAACACAAGACAAAGTTAGAGAAGATTCAGAGGTATGCCACCAGGCTCGTCCCGGAACTGAGAGGATTGAGCTACGAGGAAAGGCTAAAGGAGCTGAATCTCACATCCCTGGAAAACGGAAGAGTAAGGGGAGACATGATAACCACCTACAAAATTCTCAGGGGAATTGACAGGGTGGACAAAGACAAACTCTTCAGCACGGGTGGGACACGAACAAGGGGACACAGGTGGAAACTTAGTACCCAGATGAGCCACAGAGACGTTAGAAAGAATTTTTTCAGTGTCAGAGTAGTTAATAAATGGAATGCACTAGGAAGTGATGTGGTGGAGGCTGACTCCATACACAGTTTCAAATGTAGATATGATAGAGCCCAGTAGGCTCAGGAGTATACCAGTTGATCGACGATTGAGAGGCGGGACCAAAGAGCCGAAGCTCAACCCCCGCAAGCACAACTAGGTGAGTACATGACACACCTCTCACACACACACACTCCCTGACAACCCTCAGGGAAGGATTCTCTCAGAACCAATCCATAGCTGCCCGCCCCTCTTCACCCAGCAGTAACTGGAGACCACCAGGCCAGACTAGTAGGGCAAGACTTACCATGAGCTACGGGGCGGGAAGCTCTCGGCCTGCTAACAGGAGTCACACGTCCGCCACTACTGTGCCCACCTCTGTAAAAATATGAATTTATTCCAATAGACGATAACACCATTAGGTTGGTTAGCCAGCTGTCTGCCTAGCTGGCTGTCTGGCTGGCTGGCTGGCTGGCTGGCTGGCTGGCTGGCTGGCTGGCTGGCTGACTAGATGGCTGCCTGGCTGGATGGCTGACCAGGTGGCTGTCTGGCTGGCTGACCAGCTGGCTGACTAGCTGGCTGTCTGGCTGGCTGACCAGCTGGCTGACTAGATGGCTGCCTGGCTGGATGGCTGACCAGGTGGCTGTATGGCTGGCTGACCAGCTGGCTGACCAGCTGGCTGTCTGGCTGGCTGTCTGGCTGGCTGACCAGCTGGCTGACTAGATGGCTGCCTGGCTGGATGGCTGACCAGGTGGCTGTATGGCTGGCTGACCAGCTGGCTGACTAGATGGCTGCCTGGCTGGATGGCTGACCAGGTGGCTGTCTGGCTGGCTGACCAGCTGGCTGTCTGGCTGACTGACCAGCTGGCCGGCTGGCAGACAGAGCAAGGCAGGCTGGCGCCGACAGTGGCTACGATGTGTACAAGCAGGAAGCCAGTTGTTTACCTCCAGGTCTCCTACAGTGGTTCTTATGGCCATCGTTGACGTTGTAATTCTCATGAACATTGTTATTATGATAACCGTAGCAGTTAGTAATGGTGTGGCCTCGTGGGGGTGGTTGAGGGCCTCGTGGGGGTGGTTGAGGGCTGGCCGGGGATGGCTGTCAAGTTGTCAAAGACCCCGCAACTGACACACATCTACGGTACACACACACACATCTACGGTACACACACACACATCTACGGTACACACACACACACACACATCTACGGTACACACACACACACACACATCTACGGTACACACACACACACACACATCTACGGTACACACACACACACACACATCTACGGTACACACACACACACACATCTACGGTACACACACACACACACATCTACGGTACACACACACACACACACATCTACGGTACACACACACACACTATTATATAGACTGTGGGTTGGTTGGTGTTGTCGTCGTCGATCCTTCTCTATGGACAACCCAACCCACAACTCGGCAGAGTGCTTATACTAGGAGATCACCCTTGGCGCTTCTGGCTCTTGGAGAGGGGCTCAACGTCACACGTTTAGGGGATGCGGCTCCAACACTTAGCCTCGTTGTCACGTGCACACACCCACTCGAGCCGCTGTGACTCCCCACTCTCTCCTTATGAGATATGATCTCCTCAATCCCCCTATGACTTACCAGTATTACCTCCTACCCTGTCCACAGCAGTGGTTCATGGTTCTTCCTCTCTCTCTCTCCTTCTTTACCACCTCCTGGGAAGCCTCACTAGGACAAG